AAATTAACGGATATAAAGGAGATTGTAAAATATTACAGTGAAATTAAGACCTCTTTATCAATCACACAGAGACATTTAAAATGACACCAAGCATGAATATAAAGCCACAAGATACACCATATTAAAAACTTAAACATTCTGTGTGGAATGTGAGTGAGCTGCTCTGGTGGAGAAGGTAAAGTCCAGGGCAAAGAGGGGGGCTCAGGATGCATGATCGAGACAACCTGAACAACTGGTTTTCTAGCTGATCTTCTTCTCAAATTACAAAGTGTTATGTTTTAGTGCCTGACCATTCTCATGGTCTTGTCTCGTGTGGAGTTCCACAACAGTTTGCAGATTTTAATATTATGGAGAGATATAGCCATCCTTACATTATTATGTGCATATCTGATCTTAAACTGTAGTTCCACTGTACTCTGCAACGGGAACCTCAGTCAATAATATTTATGTAAAACTGAATTTTTGTTGCATCATATGATTATATTTTAAACTTTTCATAAATTCATCAAACAATGTGTACCTAAAAAGCATTTTCTAAGAAATAAAAAAAAGTTCTGTCCTATTGTCACTAAGTTATTGTTACTTTTTTTCTACTGGATATGTGGTTTATATCTAGTGTATATATATATATATATATATATATATATATATATATATATATATATATATATATATATATATATATATATATATATATATATTGATTTGTCTATTTGCTGGCTTGCTATCAGAAAACAAACACTAAGCTAGGCGATAAATTAATTAAATTCTACAATTACAAGTGATTTGTAATTTGTTCATTTATACCCCATTTTTGTTTAATAATGTTTTTCTATGCAGACTTTATGTGTTGGTCTAATATTTGTATAAAGAAAGTTTGCATTTGCATTTACTCATTTAGCATCTTTTATCCTGCGACAACAACTAATGACACAAGAAGAAACAGACTCAGCCTACCAAAGGTTCAGAGCTTGTGTTTTTAAATGCTAACAAACCTTAAGCCAAGTCCAACAAGTAAAGCCACACAATGTTGTTTTAAAGCTTATTTAATTTTATTTTTTTTGTTAAAATGCACTGTTCTATTCTCAAGTCAAGTTGTTAAGCTCATTAGGCCCTGTGGCTTTTGTTTTTATTTATAATATCTTTCACTTAAATTGCTGTTTCATAAAAACATCTACTGGGAAGAGTTGCCATATTTCATATAAAGATTTTATGGCACAAACACGTTATTTAATTTAAAGCTTACTTGTTTTTATTTATTAAAAAGCCTAGCTTGATGTGCAGTATTTTGTTTTCTTTTGATTATTTTATTGTCGTGATTTATAAAGTAATCTGATTTGTTATAAAAGCTTTTCTGGTAAAATGATAATAATAATAATAAAACAATAAACAACAATTAAACAGTGTTTAAGTGTCTAATGCTGGCAGCATCATATGTTACAAAACTATTCACAAAGACTATTTGATTTATTAAATAACTCATCTCTTATGCTTTCTTTCACGTTATGTTACAAAAGATTGAATGATTTGGATTAACTAAAAGATTCATTAATTCGCTCATGTGCACGATGTGTAGTGCAAGACAAGATCAGTTCATTTTTCGAGTCCTCTATCGAGTCGTTCGTTCACCACATGAAAGACTACAGCCAAACATATGCATTTATATGCCAATCATATGCGTTTAGAGCCAGAAAAAGAATTGATCTGTTCACCTCTCGAGTCCTCGTGTTTGAGTCATTCGTTCATCACCGGCCAATCATATGGGTTTAGAGCCAAAAAAAAAAAGAATTGATCTATTCAACTCTCGAGTCCTCGGGTTTGAGTTATTCTGTCACGTGATGAACGAACGACTCAAGAACCAGAAGACTCGAAAGGTGAACTAATTATCATGGCTCCTATTGGCTCAAAATGGGGACATTGGTTAAGATTGTATGTGACTGTTATTGTAACGTGAACGCACCACTGACATTTGAAGACATGAAGAGGTGAGCTGAGCAAACAGACAACAATGCCTATAGACAAAAGAGCAGGTAAACATTGAATTGTTATTTTCTTCTTCTTATAATCTATTTATGACTTATTTGTTGTGTGATCAAACTTCTGGGCTAGTTGTAGATGTGTTTGGAAGCAATTCGTAACACTTTAAAGGGCCATGAAACCCCCTCGTTTCAGCAGGGTGTTTTTACACCTCTACTTTGGAAAAAGCGAGTTTCAGAGTCAAAATACACACCCACACAGACAGGAGAAAGTGATGGTGTTAATTCGACTACATGGACATCTGTAGTCGAATTATTTGCCAAATTATTAAATGTTGGACTTTAACTGCAGTTTGGCTCTTTCATTCAGGGAATTCATTCATGCCTCTCGCAACAAACGAGATGTTTGATTCGAGGAACTGATCTAAGCGTGTATTTTTCATGCAATGTTTGATACAGCACGGCGAATGAGAGAAAAAAAACCTCCGCATTTCCCGGAAACCTAGATGCATACGGCAGGTAGTGTCAGAAAGCCGCGTGTGTTATTCCGGTCACAAAATGCGGTGCTAACATTTCTGCACTCAGTGCAATAGTTAACTTAATTCGATACGAACAAACTGAATAAACAAAGAGCACTGGTCGCTCACTTACCAAATCTGTAGAGACAGGACAATCACCAGCAACTAGAGCCGCGTCTATATGGAGAGAATACTACAAGCGAATCCAGATTTCAGCGTTTGCAGATGAGAACAGCTCTCAGGTAAACAATAATCCTCCTTAGACACGTAAGTTATTGTTGTCGAGCGTCGCGTACACTGTTAATCCACACGTGATCCAGATGAGCTCTCACAGAGAGAAAATGAAAACGAAACTTAACGGCAGCAAACTATAAAAGCAACACTTCACGCTTCTTTTGCCAACACAACGTGGCGTCTTTGTGGTGTAAACACGGTGACACAAATGAATATTAATGAAGGTGCACAATAGAGCGCGCTGTCCAACCTGGACCATACGCTACTTGAAAACTACAGACCAGTATCCCTGCTTCCATTCATGGCCAAGATTCTGGAGAAAGTAGTGTTCAATCAAGTTCTGGACTTTCTTACTCAAAACAATCTCATGGACAACAAGCAATCCGGCTTTAAGAAAGGCCACTCAACTGAGACTGCCCTGCTCTCGGTCGTGGAGGATCTCAGACTGGCTAAAGCAGACTCTAAATCATCAGTCCTCATTTTGCTGGACTTGTCAGCTGCTTTTGACACTGTCAACCACCAGATCCTGCTATCTACGCTTGAGTCACTGGGCGTTGCGGGCACTGTTATACAATGGTTCAGATCTTACCTCTCTGACAGGTCATTCAGGGTGTCTTGGAGGGGAGAGGTGTCCAACCTACAACATCTAAACACTGGGGTACCTCAAGGCTCTGTTCTTGGGCCACTTCTCTTCTCCATCTACACATCATCTCTAGGACCAGTCATCCAGAGACATGGATTCTCCTACCACTGCTATGCTGATGATACCCAGCTATACCTCTCTTTTCATCCTGATGATCCCTCGGTTCCAGCTCGCATTTCAGCCTGCCTGTTGGATATTTCACACTGGATGAAAGATCATCATCTTCAGCTGAACCTCGCAAAAACGGAAATGCTTGTAGTTTCTGCCAACTCGACTCTACACCATAACTTTTCAATCCAGATGGATGGGGCAACCATTACTGCATCCAAAATGGTGAAAAGCCTTTGAGTAACGATTGATGACCAACTAAACTTCTCTGACCACATTTCTAGAACTGCTCGATCGTGCAGATTTGCACTCTATAACATCAGAAAGATCCGACCCTTCTTATCTGAACATGCAGCTCAACTCCTTGTTCAAGCTCTTGTTCTCTCCAAACTGGATTACTGCAACTCTTTACTAGCTGGGCTTCCAGCTAACACTATCAAGCCTCTTCAACTGCTCCAGAATGCAGCAGACGAGTGGTCTTCAATGAACCTAAACGAGCACATGTCACTCCGCTGCTAGTCCGTTTGCACTGGCTGCCAGTTGCTGCTCGCATCAAATTCAAAACTCTGATGTTTGCCTACAAAGTGACTTCTGGCCTAGCACCTTCTTATCTGCACTCACTTCTGCAGATCTATGTGCCCTCCAGAAACTTGCGTTCTGTGAATGAACGTCGCCTCGTGGTTCCATCCCAAAGAGGGAAAAAATCACTTTCGCGAACGCTCACGCTCAATCTGCCCAGCTGGTGGAATGAACTCCCTAACTGCATCAGAACAGCAGAGTCACTCGCTATTTTCAAGAAACGACTAAAAACTCAACTATTTAGTCTCCACTTCACTTCCTAATCTGCAATTGCCTCTTTGAATATCACACTAACTGTACAAAAAAAAAAAAAAAAAAACTAGTAATACTTCCCTTCTTAGACTTTACAGACCTGAAACTTGCCTTTAGTACTTATTCATTGTTGCTCTTAGTTGTGTAAATTGCTTCCTTGTCCTCATTTGTAAGTCGCTTTGGATAAAAGCGTCTGCTAAATGACTAAATGTAAATGTAAATGATTGGTTTGAACCAAGCCTTACTCATGCATTAATGTATCACACTGTAAGAAGTATTAAGACTCACTCTGGCACAGACGCCCAGTCTGCAGGCTGGAATACACGCTATTATGTCATGACCATGACGCAGCTTCAAAAATTCGTTTCAAACACGAAGTACGAATTTGCTTGAAATAACGCAAAAACAACCAATTTACACTTTTTAGTGAAATATAGGTGTCCTAATAGTGTTTTTAGCAGTGTGGGACACATATACGACTGTCAACAGCTCAAAAAATGTGTTTTGGTGTTTCGTGACCCTTTAATAATATTTTGGCAAATTGAACCAAATGAACAAAATGACTCGAAAAAAGATTTGTTCATCTTGATGAACAAGACTCAAAGATCCGAGTCAGTAAAATAATCCAAACTTCCCATCACTATTGAGTATGCGAAATTCTGTTGTACGCCACTGCGAAAAGGGGTGGGATTAAACAAGATGATTAGACATGAATGGTTTCTCTCCAGTGTGGCTCATGATGTGTTGATTAAGGTGTGATGATTGGCTGAAACTCTTCCCACACTGAGGGCATGTGAATGGTTTCTCTCCAGTGTGGATCCTCATGTGTTGATAAAGGCGTGATGAGCAGTTAAAACTCTTCCCACACTGACTGCATGTGTATGGTTTCTCTCCAGTGTGGATTCTCATGTGTTGAAAAAGGGTTGATGAAAAGGTAAAACTCTTCCCACACTGAACACATGTGAATGGTTTCTCTCCATTGTGGGTCCTCATGTGTTTATAAAGGTTTGATGAGCGGTTAAAACTTTTCCCACACTGAGTGCATGTGAATGGTTTCTCTCCATTGTGGATCCTCATATGTTGATAAAGGTCTGATGAGCGGTTAAAACTTTTCCCACACTGGGTGCATGTGAATGGTTTCTCTCCAGTGTGGATCCTCATGTGTTCATTAAGGTATGATGATTGGCTGAAACTCTTCCCACACTGACTGCATATGAATGGTTTTTCTCCAGTGTGGATCATCATGTGTAGAGTAAGGGATGATGACTGCCTGAAACTCTTTCCACACTGAGTGCATGTGAATGGTTTTTCTCCAGTGTGGATTTTCATGTGATAGTTAAGGTGTGATGATTGGCTGAAACTCTTCCCACACTGAGTGCATGTGAATGGTTTCTCTCCAGTGTGCATCCTCATGTGTAGATTAAGGGATGATAATTGGTTGAAACTGTTCCCACACAGAGTGCATGTGAATGGTTTCTCTCCAGTGTGGATCCTCATGTGGTGATTAAGGGATGATGATTGGCTGAAACTCTTCCCACACTGAGTGCATGTGAATGGTTTCTCTCCAGTGTGGACCCTCATGTGTTTATTAAGAATGTCTTTTCTTCCAAAACTCTTCCCACACTGAGTGCAGATGAAACGATTCTTGTCTCTCCTTTTTAAAATATCATCAGTCTGTAAATGAGTTTTTTCCTCAATTTTGACATGATGTTCCTTTTCTTTACTCTCCTCATTCTCTTCAATTAGGTCTGAAATAAATGTAAAAAAAAAAAAAAAACTTTAGTTTTATCAAGTCTTAAAAACTCTTATCAAAAGCTGAAAAGTGAAAAGACACTGGAAACATTGGCTACACACACTGTAATTTTGATGCACATTAAATGTAAAATTAATCAGATTATATTGTGTCCATTAACGTGTACACATTTATGCAGATTCCATTCAATCTTTATTTATCTAGTGCTTTTATAATGTAAATTGTTTCAAAGCCGCTTAACATAGAAGTTATACTTTATGGATATGCATGAACTCTGCTGACATGGTTCTGGTAGATTATCAGTCAGATTCTTTACGTCCGCATAGCGCGTTCTACAGTGAAATCTAATTTTGCGGAGAAACCTTAATGCATCAGAGGATGGCAAAGAAGGGAGATTTACTCTTAAATTGATGAGGGTCTAGTGCCAGTGAATGTCCAGCATCTGGAACACCATTATTGTTCAGTTCCAGAACCCACAATAGTTGATTAATACACCAGATCAGTCTGACAAGCTCCGTGAAGAGGTGGAGTGACTATAAGCAGGGCTGGAGCAGGCTGAACTGCCGCTCTAGGCAGAGGACGATCAACCCCAACCCCAATGTGAAAACGAAAGTGACCGGTTATGAAAATGAAGTGAGGTGTTGCGGACCTCTTTTCCGGCACTCTATGCGCGGATATAACAAAGGACACGCGGGTGCTGAGGGAGGGAGGGAGGTGTCACGGACTGGCAGACACCGCCCTCTCTATTCTGCCACCCTATGCGTGGATATAACTGAGGACGCGCAAGTGCTGAGGGAGGGAGGTGTCGCGGACACTGCGCTCTTTATTCTGCCGCCCTATGCGCGGATATAACTGAGGACGCGCGGGTGTCGCAGACCTCAATTCTGCCGCCCTACGCGCAGATATAACTGAGGACACGCAGGTGCTGATGGAGGTGACGCTGACGCCGTCCTCTATCGTCTATGCGCGAATATATCTGAGGATGCGGGGGAGGTGTCGCGGACATAACTGAGGACGCAGGTGGTAAGGGAGGTATCGCAGACACCACCCTCTCTATATTGCCGCCCTAGGCGACCGGAATATGGAAGGTTCTAAAGGTACAGTTAAAAAAAATAATGTACTAGAATTTTCATCATTTAGAATGTAATAGGCAAATAACAGTCTGAAACAAATGTGTCAAGCGCAAGTATTTATATGCAAAACCTAATCAGAGAACCCGCGGGGGTTTTAAAAGCATTGAAAAAGTTTTAAATTTGATAATTTTAAATTAATGCTTTAATAGCCTTGAATTATTATACAAAGTCTTGGATTTCGTTACAAAGGTTTTAATTTATTCATTTTTTTTACCTTTCTAAGATTAAGTTCATACATTAATTGCGTAAAAACATCTATTATGTAATATTTTAATATGAGGAATAAAAGACTACAAATTGTCAAAACTCATTCCTAGGAACTTTACCTTTTTCACAACTTGTATAATTTCTAAAAAAGCTCTGCATCTAAATGCATAGATCTTTATAAACAAAAATGCATGCATAGAGTTATGATTTTAAAAAAATAAAACCATTTAAAACTGACCAATCGTATTTTTATTCATACATATTTAAATTTGTCTCTTGATTGTATACATATTTTCCCTTTATAACTAATACATATATCATCTACATATAATCTACAAAATATATTATTAACATTAACATTTACAATGTTATTAATTTTAATACTAAATAGTGTTACTGATAGTATACTTATTTGGGATACTCCTGATTCTCATATATGCTATTCAGATAATAGATTTTTAATACACACACGAAAAAACTCTATTGGATAAAAAAATACCCATCTCGTGTAAATCTTTTAAAATACCATACCTTTTGGTAGTGTCAAAGGCCTTTTCCTGATTAAAAAAAAACTGCTCGTATGTGTTGTTTTTTTAATAAATTGATCTCGTACAAAAGATTTTAATCATATAAGGTGGTCAAGAGTACTTTTCCCTTTTCTAAACCTACACTGATATTAATCTTCTGTTCTTTTTCTAAAATCCACACTAATCAATCATAATCATTCGTTCCAAGGCAACTGGTAAGTGCTATTGGACGATAATTATTTGAATGATCTTTTCCTGGTTTAGGTATTGGTATAATAATAACTTCTTTCTAAAAGGCTGGTATTTCTCCTGATTTGCAGATATTGTTAACCCGACAAGAAATGCCATCTAAAAAGGTTACATGCTGTTTGTCCAATCAGGGACATTGACAACATAAATATACAAATTACAATGTTAACCCGGGTTTGTGATTGTGAAACGTCTGTTAATGAACATCAGGTATAACATGAGCAGTGTGAAAGGAGATTACAGATAACACAGAATTCTGTTTATCCAGTGTTAGAATGGCCCAGGGTTAACAATATCAAGAGCCAAAAGCTCTAAGAATACTCAGCCTCAGCTCTCAGAATAAACAGAGCACAATGACAAATAGTGACATACATAAATTGTCAATCATATTATAGCAGTGACCCGATCTTATATGCTATTGCTTTAAAACTTCCAATTATATTACCTATTGGAGAAATGACCAGGAATATTAAACGATAGAAAACAGTCAAACTCAAGGGCGGACTGGCCAAAGGGACACATTTCCCATTGGCCTCATGGTCATCTGGCCTGCCACCGTTAACCTGGTCCGCTCTGCCCCCACTTATTATAAACATTGCGCTTCTCTCCCCAAAATTAATTTAGTAATAAAAAAATAATCCTTAAAGTATGAAAGTACAATTATTCAGCACATTACAAATGTGGTTCAGGAATACAGCATGTGTAGCTGCAGTTATAAACTGTTTACTAACGCTTATTAAGGTAGAGTTATTGCTAAATAGATAATGAATTCAGTTTTTGCTAATGCTTAATAAATGGTTTATAGTGTGTTGTTATTATAAAGTGTTACCGAATTATCTGTTGTCTTAGACCTGACTCATGGGCGAGAATTAATGCTATGAAGTCTTACCTCCCTGACTCTTTATCCCTCCTTTCTGCTTTATAGCAATGCTTAGACAAAGTAACACCATCGTCATATTACATACACTTTACATAAACTTTGCAAAACTCGCTGTGTGCCTACACTTCTGCACAAAAGGCTGTTAATTCTGTTTCATGGCACATAAGCGGCGCTTATTTTATTGGCGTGCATGCAAACAACCGGGATTCACACAGGAGCGTGTGTGAGGTGTGCGGGAATGTTTTTCTGTATGCATGCATCAGTTTGCTTTCACAAGCTTTGTTTTGTTTGCACATTGAGAATAACAAACTCGCACGTGTAAAAGATGCTAAATGTAAATGGCCCCTAATGTCTTTAATCTGGGATTGCCAAATAATCGCATCTCAATACTTTTACTAGGGGACATTTTTTTTAAGCTGCGTCACGGTCATGACATAATAGCATGTATTCCAGCGTGCAGACTGGGCGTCTATGCCAGAGTGAGTCTTATTACGTCTTACAGTGTGTTCAAACCAATCAGAGCGCTCTATTGTGCAACTTCATTAATATTCATCACTGTCACCGTGTTTACACCACAAAGACGCCACGTTGTGTTGGCAAAACAAGCGTGAAGTGTTGCTTTTATAGTTTGCTGCCGTTAAGTTTCGTTTTCATTTTCTCTCTGTGAGAGCTCATCTGGATCACGTGTGGATTAACAGTGTACGCAACGCTCAATAACTTACGTGTCTAAGGAGGAACATTGTTTACCTGAGAGCTGTTCTCATCTGCAAATGCTGAAATCCGGATTCGCTTGTAGTCTCCTCTTAATTGCTGGTGATTGTCCTGTCTCTACAGATTTGGTAAGTGAGCGACCAGTGCTCTTTGTTTATTCAGTTTGTTCGTATCGAATTAAGTTAACTATTGTGGAAACATGTTAGCACCGCATTTTGTGACCGGAATAACACACATGGCTTTCTGACGCTACCTGCCGTGTGCATCTAAGTTTCCGGGAAATGCGGATTTTTTTTTCTCTCATTCGTCGTGCGGTATCAAACATTGCATGAAAAATACACGCTTAGAGCAGTTCCTCGAATCAAATATCGCGTTTGTCGCGAGGGACATGAATGAATTCCCAGAATGAAAGAGCCAAACTGCAGTTAAAGTCCAACATTTAATAATTTGGCAAATAATTAGACTACAGATGTCCATGTAGGTTAAACACCATCACTTTCTCCTGTGTGTATTTTGACTGAAACTCGCGCGTGCCCAAATAGACACTTCCACACCCTCCCACTTTAGTACCTCCGACACTCCCCCCTAGACAGAGCTGGACACGCCCACTTTTCTGACTTTTTCCAAAGTAGAGGTGTGAAAACACCCTGCTGAAACGAGGGGGTTTCATGGCCCTTTAAACCAGGGTTTCTGCTGGTTTCACCTAGTTAAATTTAAGACTTTTAATGACCATCATGAATGAAATTTTAGACTCATAAAGGGCTAAGGCTAAAGAATTTTTCAAATGGCCCAGATTTTGTATTTGTCCTATCAAAAAATATAATAAAAAAATTATATTACTATTTTGGATATTCCTTAGCAAAATATTTTAAATGTTGTGTAAAAAAGCAAGCTTTACTTGTATCCACACACCTTTTTTTCAAAATAAACTTTTTTTTTAAATATTAAAAATGAACAAATGTTTTAAAAACTATAATAAACTAAATTTATGCACAACAATCTGTCCTGGTTGATGTCCTCAGCAGTAAATACATGGAGCACGTATGAACAAATGTTATTGTGAGGAAAATAATTACAACATCATGATACATAAAGTTAAAATGTCAAACCTTTTTGAATAAAAAATTTTAAGTTTGATTGAGATGGATTGTTGGTGATTGTGTGGGTTTTGGCCAGATTTCACAGCAAAATATAAACAAAGGAAAATAAAGACTTGTTGAAAAAAGAATTAAGACCTACCACACAACATTTCAGTAAATGTAAGACTTTTTAAGGCCTAAAAATTTGATTTTGGAATGTACAACAATTTAAGACTCCATGGAAACCCTGTTTAAACACAATAGCCCTGGTAATTAATCATTATGATAATGATGTAATTCTAATTCAGATACTATCTGTGAGAACTAGTAAGAACTACTAGAAACAAGAAACAAGGGAATTGTGATCAACGTGACATATGCAAATGGAAAGTACTAAGCCAACACTATCACTGTAATAGCAGATATCTTCTATGAGAATACTGTAGGTCAAATATCATCAGCTCAGTTAAGTTCTTAATTTATGGTTTTTGTTTATTTTATATAGTGCCAGTGCTCGAGGATGCTTTACAAACAGTAGGAGAACAAGAAAAGCAATAACCTTAAGAAGGTAGAGAAAATGGTAGACTAATAATAAATAAAATAATGAAAAACGACCAAGAACAAGTGACAAAAGAAACTCATACCTGTCTTTTTAATGAGTGCTTATGTGCGTAATAGGCAGCACATAATATATCTGAATGAGGATCAAATGACTGAGTTGGTCTTTGAGAATTAAAACTAACCTGCTTGTTCCTGTGGATCTTCATGTTTGACTGTGAATGTTTCTTCAATCTTCACATCTTCACTCTCCTCTTTAATAAACGCCATCTTTATAACAGTGTGGAGATCAGTCGCTTCAGCAGGAGTTTTTCTCTGCGTTTAGACACTTTATCCTGTTTAAAATGAACAAAACAATAAAAATGTTCTGTTTTAAATGAATGACATTATGCTATTTAATAAATTAAACCTTCATTAAAACGCTTATTACATACTTTACTGTTGCTTTATTCAAACTTCAACAAATGTTAATTATTTATTTTGTTTTATGTATTTTATTGTCTGCTTACAGCAACGTTGTAGATAGAGGTAAAGTTGGTTTTATATTCACACATTCAGACTTTCCCCTTAATAATATAATTTCATTATTTGCAAACTCTAAATAGTGAAATCATATTAGCAGCCAATGACTATCAAAGTACAACATTGTTCACAGTCAAATAAACAGTGTTAATGTAGTTTTAAAGTCACACTTGCATGCTAATTCCAATCGAATATTCAAAGTAACATGGTAAACAACATAGAGACCTCTAAATGAACAAATGCGTGAATATAAAACCAACTTTACCTCTATACGTTGTAGCACTCTTTTGCACAAGACAAGAATTTCCTCTCGGGGACAAATAAAGTTTATCCTATCTTGTTCAAATAATAGACCTTACAGTGAGTAAAATAATACTTCTTTTTTATAAAGGGTTAAAATAACATTGTCAACAGCAGGTACATCTAGCATTAAATGAACAACCTGAAATTTCAATCAGTCAGTTTACATCTGTGTAAAAACTTTAAAACAAGGCATGCACTAAATTCCAGGGGTTTCATTACCACGACGTAAAATGGGCGTGGCTTGGTCGGCGTTTGGGAAACGCCCCCTTAAAGAAAAAAACAATACTGAGAGGTCACCGATCATGCGCAGTACATGTTCTTTTTTAGCGCGGTCATTTCAAACCGGATGATTATGGATAAAGAACCTACCGCGGTGGATAACGAAGGAAAAAAACAATCATGCAGGTTATTTTTTTTTTGTTTTTATAATGTTATATTTTAAAGATTTCATTAGCAAAAACAGATGACCTCGTTTTACTCCGTTTTACTGTCTCTGGGCTTTTGTACTTCCATGGTAACGTAAACCAAGTAATAATGGTTGTGGTAAGATTAACCGTGTTTTTGTAGTTTAAAATATGGTATTCAGTCATGTTTAAACAAATAAATACCACATTTTTCTGTAATAAACCGTGGATAATTTTTCTTTCTCAATCTTAGTTAATTAACATAACTCATATTTATTTTCTATTTTTATTTAAAGTCATCATACCCAAAACAACTGAGAGCAGGACAGGTATCTGATGTTAACTAATATAAAAGTGATCATACATGAAACACCTGGGATCAGGACAGGTATCTGATGTTAACTAATATAAAAGTGATCATACATGAAACCCCTGAGATAAGGATGTTACTGTATATAAAAGTGATCATACATGAAACACCTGGGATCAGGACAGGTATCTGATGTTAACTAATATAAAAGTGATCATACATGAAACCCCTGAGATCAGGATGTTACTGTATATAAAAGTGATCATACATGAAACCCCTGGGATCAGGACAGGTATCTGATGTTACTGTATATAAAAGTGATCATACATGAAACACCTGAGATCAGGACAGGTATCTGATGTTAATGTATATAATATAAAAGTGATCATACATGAAACCCCTGGGATCAGGACAGGTATCTGATGTTACTGTATATAATATAAAAGTGATCATACATGAAACACCTGGGATCAGGACAGGTATCTGATGTTACTGTATATAATATAAAAGTGATCATACATGAAACACCTGGGATCAGGACAGGTATCTGATGTTAATGTATATAAAAGTGATCATACATGAAACCCCTGGGATCAGGACAGGTATCTGATGTTACTGTATATAAAAGTGATCATACATGAAACCCCTGGGATCAGGACAGGTATCTGATGTTACTGTATATAAAAGTGATCATACATGAAACCCCTGAGATCAGGACAGGTATCTGATGTTAATGTATATAATATAAAAGTGATCATACATGAAACCCCTGAGATCAGGACAGGTATCTGATGTTACTGTATATAAAAGTGATCATACATGAAACACCTGAGATCAGGACAGGTATCTGATGTTAATGTATATAATATAAAAGTGATCATACATGAAACACCTGAGATCAGGACAGGTATCTGATGTTACTGTATATAAAAGTGATCATACATGAAACCCCTGGGATCAGGACAGGTATCTGATGTTAATGTATATAATATAAAAGTGATCATACATGAAACACCTGGGATCAGGACAGGTATCTGATGTTAATGTATATAATATAAAAGTGATCATACATGAAACACCTGAGATCAGGACAGGTATCTGATGTTAATGTATATAATATAAAAGTGATCATACATGAAACACCTGGGATCAGGACAGGTATCTGATGTTACTGTATATAAAAGTGATCATACATGAAACACCTGAGATCAGGACAGGTATCTGATGTTAATGTATATAATATAAAAGTGATCATACATGAAACACCTGGGATCAGGACAGGTATCTGATGTTACTGTATATAAAAGTGATCATACATGAAACACCTGAGATCAGGACAGGTATCTGATGTTACTGTATATAAAAGTGATCATACATGAAACCCCTGAGATCAGGACAGGTATCTGATGTTAACTAATATAAAAGTGATCATACATGTAACCCCTGGGATCAGGACAGGTATCTGATGTTACTGTATATAATATAAAAGTGATCATACATGAAACACCTGGGATCAGGACAGGTATCTGATGTTACTGTATATAATATAAAAGTGATCATACATGAAACACCTGAGATCAGGACAGGTATCTGATGTTAATGTATATAAAAGTGATCATACATGAAACACCTGAGATCAGGACAGGTATCTGATGTTAATGTATATAATATAAAAGTGATCATACATGAAACACCTGAGATCAGGACAGGTATCTGATGTTACTGTATATAATATAAAAGTGATCATACATGAAACACCTGGGATCAGGACAGGTATCTGATGTTAATGTATATAATATAAAAGTGATCATACATGAAACACCTGGGATCAGGACAGGTATCTGATGTTACTGTATATAAAAGTGATCACACATGAAACCCCTGAGATCAGGACAGGTATCTGATGTTACTGTATATAAAAGTGATCATACATGAAACACCTGGGATCAGGACAGGTATCTGATGTTACTGTATATAAAAGTGATCATACATGAAACACCTGAGATCAGGACAGGTATCTGATGTTAATGTATATAAAAGTGATCATACATGAAACACCTGGGATCAGGACAGGTATCTGATGTTACTGTATATAAAAGTGATCATACATGAAACACCTGAGATCAGGACAGGTATCTGATGTTAATGTATATAATATAAAAGTGATCATACATGAAACCCCTGAGATCAGGACAGGTATCTGATGTTACTGTATATAATATAAAAGTGATCATACATGAAACACCTGGGATCAGGACAGGTATCTGATGTTAATGTATATAAAAGTGATCATACATGAAACACCTGAGATCAGGACAGGTATCTGATGTTAATGTATATAATATAAAAGTGATCATACATGAAACACCTGAGATCAGGACAGGTATCTGATGTTAATGTATATAATATAAAAGTGATCATACATGAAACACCTGGGATCAGGACAGGTATCTGATGTTAATGTATATAAAAGTGATCATACATGAAACCCCTGGGATCAGGACAGGTATCTGATGTTACTGTATATAAAAGTGATCATACATGAAACCCCTGGGATCAGGACAGGTATCTGATGTTACTGTTTATGATATATAAAGTATTTGACACAAAAGCCCTGGGATCGGGACAGGTATCTTAAGTTATAACAGTATTAATGTAATCTGAGAGGTAACTTAAGTTAATTTGTTTAATATAACATACACTGATTTCACATGAAACACCTGATCAGGACAGCTATTTTAAAGTACTGCATATAAAAGGCATTGGACACAAAACCCCTGCGAATACATACAGGTATTTGAATCAAACGGCTGTTTTCACAATCTGCGCATGATCCGTGACCTATGCAAATTCACATATAGGCCACGCCCACCCGATGACGTAATAGCGGTTACGCTGTACTGAAACCCCTGGAAAAAAGTGCCTGCCTTTAAAACAAACCTTTCTACTGTTGAATCACAGTGCGGGAGCGGCGCAGCCTAATGACGTCACAACACCACGCCAAAATAAAAGTCTTTTTTGTTTGTTTGGTTTTTTCCCCCTACTTACTCTTAGTCATGACCTATTGATACATTTCTCCCTCGTTTTCCATTTTATACTTTATCTGCTTTCTGTTTTGTATTTGTAAGACCATCACTATTTATGCTAATTGAAAAACAGCATTTACCCCCCACAAGTTCTTTGCCTTCAGGTAGGTTGGTAAGTGGTTGCATTTTCTTTAAACCTTTAAACTTTGCATTTCTTCATCCATAGCTTTAACCCATTCACTTGCATTCACTGATGTTACCACCTCTTTGTATATTTGAATGGGGAAACATAAAATTCTCCAAAATTGACTGCCAGGTTCCAACCTATAGTAGAAGCTTTTTTGGGCTACAGTCCAATTGTATAGAGGTAAAGTTGGTTTTATATTCACACATTCAGACTTTCCCCTTAATAATATAATTTCATTAAAGTATTATTTGCAAACTCTAAACAGTGAAATCATATTAGCAGCCAATGACTATGAAAGTACAACATTGTTCACAGTCAAATAATCAGTGTTAATGTAGTTTTAAAGTCACACTTGCATGCTAATTCCAATCGAATATTCAAAGTAACATGGTAAACAAGTTAGAGACCTCTAAATAAACGAATGCGTGAATATAAAACCAACTTTAAATCTATTCCAATTGTCAGGATAAAAACAATATTAATAACCAAATGAACAAACAAACAAACAAAAATCGTTG